CTCATTGTGTACATCCTTTGATATCATTTTACTCCTTCTGGTCCATTTTTTACCTTACACACCACAACCAGGCTAATCCTTCTATAATACTAATTTTTATATAGCAGTCCTCTAATAATAAAAGTATTATAGGACAGTGTTTCAGGCCAGAAACCAGAATAGAGCCGATTATATTATATACTTTTGTAGCTAAATATACATACACGAGTCAAAGAGTTTTAGCTAAAAATAAGTGTCTGTGAAGTTATATCTATAATTAATGAAAATGCTGTTTTCAACCAATTACAAAATAATCTGTAGACTGAATGTGACTGAGGTCACAATACTTTATATAGAATTTAACATCCCACCAGAGTGATGAACTATTTAATAGTGTTTGATACTGAAACTATTTTTTCTCTTAAAAAAAAAAAGAAAGAAAAAAAGTTTATAAAAACAGCTTAAGAAAGTCAAAGCAGGAAATTATTAAATACTTTCTGTTAATTATTTCTGGAGACAAAAAAGTGACAATATATGTATAAGGTGCTAAAATTAAAACTCTAAGTTGTATCTTGCACCTTTTAAAACTTCTCAAACTAACGATATGAATAGCTTGAAAAACAAGTCCCAAAAGTGTTTTGTAAGGCCCAACCTCATGCATAGGTGTCTTGATTTGTAGACTGCTCTCAGTTTACAAGTGGAGGAAATAATTTTTTTTAGACTTTACAATTTATAGGTCATTGGATCATCAGCAAAAACTAAGCTTGGGTAGTGATGACAAACCTATACATCCTTATTTGACACAGAAAAGATCTAAGCTCAGATTACATCTTCTTCAACCCTTTATATTGCTGTAGTCTCTTCACAGTTTTCTATTCAACTGGATCTTTTGAGGGTTCCTTAAAGAGACAGCAACTACCAGGCCTAGGGGCACATGCCTTTAATACCAGCAATGAGGGGTGGGGGTGGGGAGGGCAAAGGCAGGCAGATCTCTGAGGTGGAGGCCAGCGTGGTCTACACAATGAATTCCAGGCTAGCTGGGGCAACAGGGAGACCAACTCAAAAAACCACCACCAACAACAATAACAAAACCCCAACTCTCAACAACAACAACAACAACAACAACAAAAGAGACAGCAAGTAAAACAAATTCTCTAAATCCTAAGTTTATCATTTCTTCGTAAAATTTTACATTAGCAGAGGAGTGGAGGTTAAGAAGATGGCTCAGTAGGTGAGAGTGCTTGGTGTGAAAGGAAGGGGACCAGAGTGCAAATCCCCAGCACCCATGTGAAAGCCCTGTAATCCAGCACTGGGGTGGGGGTGGGGGTAGAGGCAGGCAGGTTCCTGGAGCTCACTGGACAGCCAGTCTAACCAAACCAATAGGCTTCAGGTTCAGTAAGAGACCCTGTTTCAAAATGACAAGGTGGCAGGGAGTGGTGGCGCACGCCTTTAATCCCAGCACTTGGGAGGCAGAGGCAGGCAGATCTCTATGAGTTCAAGGCCAGCCTGGTCTACAAAGCAATTTTAGGGCAGCTAGGGCTACATGGAGACCTTGTCTCAAAAAGACTAAAAAAAAATGCAAAATGATAAGGTGGACCACAATAGAGGAAGACACACAAAGTCCTCCTGGCCTTTGCATGCTGTGTACCTGCACACACATGTACGTCTTACACACACACACTTGCTGTTAACTCAAAAGACAATGAAATCTCTCTGAAAATGACGGTCTAACTGGGATGCTTCACTGCATTTTTTAAGATGCCTGACATGTTTCAACTCACCCCAGGTGATGGTAAGGGCGGAGTCCATGAGACACACCTCTTAATGTAGGTGGCAGGCTTGCCCTCCAGCCAAATAATTTTTAGCCTGTTTTTAAAGTAAGTAATGGCACTAGGAAGTACTGGTTAATGCTGTACTAAATTTGAAACTTACTGGAGCACATTTTATATTCAAGATTTAAGGTCTGATCAAAAATTTCTATGCAAATAAGTTATAATTTTACAACAATTCCATTCTTTTGAAGAGTACCCCAAGGTAAATTTAACATGTTATCATTCTAAAATTATTCATTCAGCCTTGTAAACAGTCTTTAGAAAGTAGAAATTTATGCCAGATAAGGTAGTTACCTCACTACTAAAGGGAGACCAACTTAGACAAAAAAAAATAAGAAAGTTTTATATGAAGAAGAAAATTAGAGAAAATGACAGTCTATATTGAAGTAGATTAAATTGTATTTGTAAATACTAAAAATTTTACATTTGGAGGTTTTGAATAGAACCTTGGGCCTAGCCTACAAAAAGAATGCTTATGTATTTTTAAAAATAGCAGTGTATTACTTTGGTAGTCTCTTGGACTGCCTTGACCAACAACTTCGAGGGAAGTTTCCCTTGCTTGGCACTGTGATTTTTGGATAGCCTTCAATTGTACACATGCACTCACATAAGTCCTTGATTGCATCCCAAAACTTTGAAGGTAAGACGCTATTGCTGAAGACACAACACACTTCATAACACAGGACTTGGAGCAACTGAGCTGGAACTGACCAGGAAGCCTCCTCCTCAAAGACCAGCTCTCATACAATCAAAAGATACTATGCAAGCTGCTAAGGGAGAAAACTCATCAGTGATCTTATACTGCTATAAAGCCTACAAACCACAATGACCAGCCCAGCAAATTCTATTTATGTAATAGTGGCACTTTTATCTTGGGTAATCAATAGCTGTCTAATTGGACTTAAGATCTGTTCAGTGGAAAGGAATTCATGTGTGGTACTGAAACATTGCCAAATACACATGACTGGAGAGGTCACAGACCCTAGAGAGGGTCACTTCCCTAGATCAAAATAATTTCTTACTATATTCCAATACATAGCCTTATATTTACAGACAGGTGTAGCTCTCACCACTAATCAAGGAAGCTCCTTTCTTCAACAGATGAGGGCTACTACAAAGTCCCACAACTGGTCAAATGCAGAGAATAAGTGACTGTGAGGTGCCCAGGCCAGAGTGATATGTCTACAATGTAACCTCTACACCTAAGGCTAGGGAACATCATAGAAGAGAGGACAGAAAGAATGTAAGAGGCAGAGGGAGAAGATACTTGCCACTAGTTAATGCATTCTAGACATGACAGGGAAGCTACCCCAATAAATCTCCACAGATGGGAATCTAACAAGTTCTACACAATGACAAAACCAGTTGACATGCCAAGATGAATGGGGGAAATTTTGCAGGTAATCTAATCCAAAGTGGGCAGCTCTAAACACAGGTATACAAGAGCACCAGTAAATTGATTCCATGCCCCATCATATATATTATATAAAATCATATATAATCAAAGAATAGAATAAGAGAGTGGGGGGACATGGAAGAAGTTAGGAGGTTGGGAGGGGACTGGTTAGATGGAAATAATGCAAATACAATGCTCATGTATGAAATTCTCAAAACTGAAAAATAAATTATAAATTATAGTTTAAAACATAAAGTTGAAACAGTATCCTTGATCCCATAAATAAATTGTAAATATTGACAGTAATGATGCGACATAAATGAGTGCATACTATGATTATCCCTTTTATCACAAGCAAGTAAAATTTTCTATTCAAATAGTATTTTGGGGGGGTAAGTTTGGGGTTATGGTTAGGACTAGGGTTATATTGAGGGATAGGGTTAATGTTAGGTTTAGAAAAAGGTCTAGGGTTAAATTTAGTGTTAGAGTTAGTGCTTCAGTTATTTTTAGGATTAGGGTTATATTTAGGGCTAGGTCTAGGTTAGGGTTATGTTTAGGGCTACGGTTAGAGTTAGGGTTAGGTTTAGGGCTAGGGTTACATTCTGGTTTAGGGTTAGGTTTAGGATTAGGACTAGGGTTGGGGTTAGCATTAGGGCTAGGTTTAGGATTATTCTCAGTGTTAAGTCTAAGGTTATTTGGGGTGTACGGTTAATGTTAGGGTTAGGCCTTGCTCAGGTTAGGGTTAGGGGTTGAGTTAGTGCTTGGGTTATTTAAGGTTAGTGTTAGTCTTAACCATAACCCTAAATCTATCCCAAAACCTAACTTCAACCCTATCCCTCCCCCTAGACCAAAGCCTAACCCTAAACCTAAATAGACACCTAGCCCTAAGCTTTTCTCTAAACCTAGATCTAACCTTAAACCTAATCCTAGCCTAAATCTAAACCTAACACTAGCCCTAAACCTAAGACTAAACCCAGCCCTAGCCATATACCTAAACCTAACCCTAGCCCTAAACCGAACTCTAAATCTAGGCTTAACCTTAAATAACGCAAATAGTATTTTTAAGTGAATTAAGCAAAGCTAAGACATCTGTCCCTTATTTTGTGATCAATATACACTAGTTATTATGTCCTGCTTATTCTCTGACTCTCCCATCGGGTATTTTACATTGCATAGGCCCTAATATGGCAGTCCAATAGAACTTTCTGTCATAGAAATGCTCTGTGTCTGCATTGTCCCATAGGACAGATGTGTCTTAACTAGGAACTTAAAATGCGGAGGTGTAACTGAGGAACTGAAATTCAATTTTATTTAATTATTTAAATAGCCACATATGACTAGTGGCTACCACAGTAAACAAGTCAGCATGTAAGACTAAATCTCTTGTTTCACTCTTACTTGTTTGTTAATTTCCACAAATATGGTATTCATAAATGTCTATAAGAGAGGTTTATTGAAAACATTTTTGTACTATAGTATCATCTTCATTCAAAAAATAGACCTGTGAACTTTTTATACAACATCAGACAAATCCAAATAACAAACACTACCTGAAAAGATTTTTATTAGTGTTTGCAGGACATCAGTACAACTACCCTGATTAATGAGGTCGCCTAGCGGCCTGTGTCAATCGGTCTAACATTCATTTTAGAATGACTAGAATTCAAACTATGAACTATCCATTCCTGAAAAGTTTTTTTTCCCCATTACCTATCATAACACAAGAATACCAATTATTACATAGCTTTCAGCTTCACTGGTTAAACACCGCGAAAGCTTGTCAAACCATTTACCTGACAGAGGTATTTGTTCTTCCATTTGCTCAGCACACACCGACTGTTTTGCATCAGTTCCTGAAGAACAACAGAAAAAGAGAGAGTGCAGTTGGCTACGCTCTTGGCCATTATCAGTTAAAGTGCTTCTGATTTGCAAAGAAAAAAAGAAGAAGAAGATCAACATGCCACACAAAGATGCAACTGTTTGGGAACTCTCCGGACAAAGGCGAAGCTATCATCACCACGAGAGCTGATCCTTTATGAAAATTAAAACTGTTGAAAGATGTTTTAAAACACATTTGCTTGTTGCCATTTTTTAAACCTTTTGAAAGATACCTCTAACTCTTTGAGTGAGTCTCGAAGTTTTTCTGGGCGTCTGTTTTTGAGGGTCCAAGGATAATCTCGTGCTGGCAAATAAAACATGTACAACAGTTAGTTAAACATGATTTAAAAAAGAAACTCTGCTTGCACTGCGCCTTAGGAAGATTAAAATAAGACACCTCCATAATTGACAGGAAGTGGATTTCATTTCTATCATTAAATGACAGTCTTTTAAAAGGCTTTCCTATAGGAACAGGATTTTTACCACAAGCTAATCTCCCTGATTATAATTTTGTGATGATGAACAACAAGACTTCTAGCAGCCTTGGGAGATTTTGGTAGGCCTAGGAATCTAGCGGTGCCTCATAGCAAATGACCCAAGCTTTATTATTTAAAAAATTTTCACATGAAAATAATTAAGGTTTGATCAAAAAAAATTTCAAGTTCTGCAAGTAGCCAACTTAGAATTCAATTCCTCATGAATAGGTTAAATAGGGTGAGGAAAGAAATAAAATACAAAAAGGTATTTAGAAAATGCATTTAAATGTGATCAAAGCAACACACACTACCACTACAGAAAAAAAAAGAGGGAATCTAAGTTTTCACAAATTAGGCACTAATAGTGCTCATTAAAATAATTATTTCTAAAATCTATACCGCAATTCAATAACAATATACCTTTGATTTGTCTTAAATAATTTTAATTGAAAGGTTATTTAGTAGAGGCACAATGTTAGCCTAAAACAAATTAAAACTAGATCTGTCTAAAAGTAATAAAATTTGGCTGGGGGTCTTAGTTATAAAGCACTTCCCTCACATCAAATAATACTAATTACACATTAAAGCCATCATAAAAATGAATTAATCTTTAGATTCTCATAATTAATCATTCTAAATAAGAACAGTGATATGAATATATGTATGTCATGTACATATATAAAAATAATATACAGTATATACAGATATCTAAATTGGAGAGAATTGCTATATATCTTATTTCAGAAAATTAATTTGGCTCTATAAACACAATTCTGATGTGTAGAACATAGGTACAAATTTTAAAATACGTGTTGCAGATACTAATACAGTATTCTAAAAATTAAATGCCAGTTCAACCACCTAAAATAGGAGAAGTGGGATTTTCAGGCCTAGCTATATTCCAAATAAAATTTTAAATTACATTTAACTTTAATCCATTAAAACCACATCACATTGTACCTATATTATACATAAAACATAATTATATTTTTAGACTAAGAAAAACTAAATAAAATAAAAACACTGACATTACAAATCCTACTTTATTAAAATAAGCAAAACAGGGCCAGCGTGAAGGCCCAGCAGGTAAACGCACCTGTTGCTTGACAACCTGAGTTTGATCTCAAGATCCATATGGTGGAAAGTGTCCTCTGACCTCCACACACATGCTGTGGTACAGGCATATGCATACATGCACACACATACAAAATAACCGATTCAATTGTAATTAAAAATAAATTTTAAAAAAGGAAAATGTTAGCAATTTAGGAAAAATATAAATCATTAAATGTTAACAGAATTTAAGCATGGTACATGTAGTTTTAAAATATTAAATAATACAAATACACTTCATTAAGAAAGTTTGTTTTCACAAGCACGTATCTTACCAAAATAGTACAGAGTAGAGATATCAATTATTTAAATAAGAAAAGCCTAACAGATACAATTTTTAGTTATGAGTTCTTGTACATAAACAATAGGAATGTGTGATCATAAGAAATGTGAACAGAGTAACATTTCCAATCTGTGCAGAAAGCAGCACATTTTGTAATATCCACTCTCTACTTTTATAATTCCAAAAAATATAAAGTGAACTTACATTCTGCCAACCTTTGCTTCTCTTCTAAGTTACCATGCTCTGCTGCTGACATTGTGGCAAAGGAGAGATGAAAAGAAGAGGAATTTGTTTTTTATTATAGTATCTTGTATTTCTAATGTGATACATAGATTGTTACACACACCAAGATTAATACATGATGCTTAGCTTTCAAAAGGACAGTTGAGAAAAAAAATGTCACAATGTAGATGTTTGCACGTCATGGAGCTATTTTCTTAATTTGCAGTGAAAAGGCTTACATAGCACAACAGGTGGGCCAATATCCTGTGCTTCCAATCTCATCAGATAGGGAGCCCAGAAAGACGCTGCTGCAGTCTGTCATCAGAGCTATGAAGTCAGCCTATTAACCACCGTGCTAAGTACCCAGGTTCCTCACAGCCCCCATTTCAGTGAAGAACAGGCAGGAAGTAACTCTAGCTAGGGAGACCTTTTGGCCCATCATAAAACTTCTTGGATTAACAGGCTTAATCAGATAAAGAAAATTGATCATTCACTCAGAAATGTCTATTTCAGATATCAGGTGAGGATCCAGGAGGCCAGCATCAAGGGACCAGTGCATTAACAATGCCCTCTACTGGAACACCAATAAATAAATGCCAATAGACTGTCCTGTTATCAGTCTGATCAAGAACAAAATGAAAATTTTCATGTTCTTCAACAGCATTTTTCAATGTTGTTTTATTCCAGTAAATCAGACAGATATCAATCGCAGCATTTTTCTTTTAAAAAAACTGAAGTCATTGCTCTTATGATTTTAGAATTTATCTAAAGCTTATTAGCAATTTTTAATGGTCACTATTTCATTGCTTAGAATATTTCATTTGTAAAACTAGTTAAGTATAATAGGTACGGACTTTACCTGGTGGGTCTTTCTTGTCATAATACTGGTAGACTCCGATGTCTCTATCTATAGAAAGAAAGAAATAACATTAAATTATGGTAAAAAGTTCTGGAGAATAAGAAGCCAAATCATACTATATTGGAGGGAATTGTGGGGAGGGAAGCAGAAACAGTCTCCTTATGTTACTAGAAATAAAATAGCTCAAAAGCATCTGGACATGGGTTCATCTATTCTAGGGATACGCAGAAACTGGAAAGTTCATCAATCTAATGAGAAAAATTAGAATGGCAGAAGGAAACACACAGCAGTAGAATGGCATGAGGGAAAGATTAGTAAAGAACAGAAATCAAGGAAGACCAAGTTTTCTCTTTCACACTTCCTCTGATATTTTTCACAGGGCGCTACCAAAAGGAACTGCCACTAAGCAATGCCAAATGAAGTCAGTGGATGCAAGAAAATGCCCTAGCTGTTGGATTCCGAGCTGTGGCTTGCTTTTCTCCAATTTAGCTCAAAAAATTTAGTTCCTATCCTAAAGCATTTGGGAGGAAATCTGCAAGAAGAAATGGAGGATTACAGGGAGGTATGGATAAATTATTATCTGAAACTTGTTTAGAGTCAAAAAGCTTCCAAGCCCACTCAAATTCAGATGCTCTGCTGGGTTAGGTATGAAACAAAGTGAGACTTCGCAGATGTTGACATTGATTTAACCAAGGAATTCTGTTCTTACCATTTAAACAGAGGAGAACAGAATAATCTTGTCCACGTCTATGAATAATGAAATATCTCTTTTATTGAAGTAACATTTGTTTTCTTCCATGCAAAAATAATTCTCAGTTATAACATAAGGGGGTTACAACTGTTTTTCACAAAGTGGAAGCAGTAAGGCTGCCCCCTAGTGACTGCCTGCCTGCAAACTGCTAAAACCAAAAGGGAAAATTGTATAACTGCTGTAATTAATTCTTCAAATATATTTCTTCAAACTAATCAGTCATGTATACTTAATACTCTTATACTGAAACTATATTTTACTCATCGTGAAATTAATTAAGACATTTTTTAAAAGAATGCAATTGGATGTCTAATAGATGGAAAATATCCTCCTAAGGACTAACCAGGTGGGTGTGGCCCCTGGAGCACTTGTGACATTTTATTTGCTAAGTAGGTGGTGATTTCACAAGCGTGCTCATCTTTTGAGAGTTCACAGTGTACTCTTACTATCTGTACATTTTTCAGTACTCCATTTTAATTTTAATTACACTTCAATTTTAAATTTTTCTTGTTACTTAAGTCTAAGCGCTAAGAAACACTGGCAGGATGCATGCTGGCAATATCCCCTACTAAAATACTCCCGTTTGTAATTAATACCTTTCATACATCCAAATATTTACAACTCTAGAACAGAACTAGCAAGATCACAAGGGACTCTGAATTCTACGCACAAATCTGACTTTACTGCATCTGGCCCAGTGAGACTGAATATTAAGTAGGACAAAGGAGAGCACCCACACACGGAGACCTCTCCTATAAGAAGTGCCAGTACTGGTGAGGAAGGTGCCCATGCAGGGTTAAAGGACATGATACCTTAGAACCCTTGTAGGTACAAAGGACATGAATGGCATGATGGCCTGGTGTGGAATATTAGAAGCCAAACAAGATGAGCAAGACATTCACATGTGGATACAGTTCAACTTGTGTCAAAGAATATCCACACAGGGGAGGGAGTGGACATAGGAACGGGAGACCGGAGCATAGCAGTGATGGACTGATTAACTGAAGATGTGGACGCCTGCAGAGAAGAAACATGCAAATATGAAAAGGAAGAAAACTATTTTCTGAGATGATTTCTTTCCACTTTTGAGTTTTAATCTTTTCCTGCTTTGTGCTTTTAAATTTCAAGACATGAGCTTAATGTCAATGTTTTCTGAAGCTTCTGTATTTTGCTTTTGCTTCATATGTTCGTAGCTCTCCTCGGGTTTGTGCGCATTCTCTCCCCTTCCTATATTATCTGTTTCTCCAGAAATCCTTTTCCCTGTCTACTTTTTGTTTGTTTGTTTTCTTTCCTGTTGAAGATTTTCCTCAGGTATCTAATGATACTTAGCAAGTGAGGTGCTGGGCATCTAGCTGAAGCTATGCATAGATGAATAGAGTTTTCCACCGAGGAGGCATCACTGACCAGCCAGGGACTAGGGTGTTTCTGGGGGACCTTTCAAACATTGGCGTAGCTGCTTTCCCCTCTGGGCTCATTCAATACTCAGGGGAAGAATTCAATTCCTCAAGCTCCTTCCTTCTTGGCAAATATACAAAGGTAAGAAGACATTCTCAGAACCAAATGGGATTAAGAGGACCTCATCCATCAGCACATCAGCTTCAGTTTCCTCCCTACCGTCAGTGTGCAGTGCAGCAGGGCTTCTCCATTGGCTCTGGTGTCTCAAAGTGTAGCGGCTCCGTAATTAAATATTTTACACATGTCACACCCCCATCTCTGCAATACATGCTCAAGTTTCTGTACCTTTCTGAAGTTTTAAGATAAAAATTGGCTGTCACTAGCATCCTCTTCTGTAGGCAAATGCTATTCAGATGCTTTCAGCTCCACTAACTCCTTCGTGGCTTCTATTTTCCAAGAACTGTCCAGTTTCAGGTGCCCTTTTCCTAATCTCAGCTTTTGTGGGTTTATGCTTTCTTTATTTTAATCCAATTGATCTTATTTTAGAAGAGTTTTGGGAAGAAGCAAATACGTGTCAAATCTTAAACTGGAAATTCTATCTCTATACATTTTAAGGAAGAATAAATGAAAATATGACATTCATTTGTAATTACATGTTCAATAGTAAGAAAGAGTACTTTACAAAGCTATAAAAAACATGTATGTGTAAGCCAGGCGTGGTGGCACACGCCTTTAATCCCAACACTTGGGAGGCAGAGGCAGGCAGATCTCTGTGAGTTCAAGGCCATCCTGGTCTACATAGCGAGTTCCAGGACAGCTGGGGCTACAGGGACACCCTGTCTCAAAAAAAAAAAAAAAAAAAAAAAAAAAAAGCATGTAAGTATAAACCTCTTTCTAAATATAAAAATTGATTTGATGATTAAAGAAACACTTTATAAGTTACTTTCTAATGAAATATTTTATCCTAAATTATTAATAGACACTGTTAAAACACAATAATACTTCAATAAATGTGAAATGGAAAGAACATAAATAACTGCATCCCTCAGCTACATGTCTGAAATGCTATTTTAATTTCAAATGGAAATGCCTTTCCATGAGCTAGTCTGTAAATATTCATGATGATTATAAATTAGTCGAACAATCCCAATAAAAACTGAACGTGTGTATTTTTAGAGGAAATGCACAGTAAGCTAATAAAATTAATTTTCACAACTCAAGCTAAAAGTAAGTTAATAAGAGTAAAAGGAATCATTTTTTTCACTAAGGATGAAAAAAGAAAAAGAAAAACTGCAACTTCATCTGGCAAATCCAGGCTGTAACCTTTGCTATTACTTATTAATAACAGTATAAGAGATTTGAAAAACACTGAAATTGATCCAGAGTTCATTTACCCCCAATGTGTAAGGTACTCTTCAAAGACCACAGGTGTAGTTCAGTCAAGCAGAAAGACATCTGATGGCAAAGGAATCTCTGTCCTGTTTGAAAATAATTTTAAAAAGAGAGATACAAATTAATTATTTTCTGTTACCAATAAAACCTAAATCCCTTAGAAATAGTAAAAAGAATCAATTGTCACTACTGATATTTGAGATTTGGTCCATTAGATTAAACACATTTTCCTGTATTTGTTTAACCATCCAGAACTAAGCTCTAGAAAAAGGAAAATATACTTCCTTTCCTGAATTTACTATGTCATCATAGTGAGAAATGTGGTATGAAGACTATATATATTTGGGTGTTCAACAGCATATGTTTGGTTAAAGTGCAAAGTATATTTAGAATTATTCAGTATTTGAACATTTTCTATGTTGTAATTTTCAGAAAAAGTAGGTCTGCTACATAGTTATGAAGTACAAACATACTCTGTGATACATTTTAATATATAAAACAAACATCTAAGCTATCCCACATATAAACAGGCTACAGTGGAATATGCAAGGTAAATAGTTACTATTATATGAGGCACAATTACTTAAAAATTAATTATGTAAAAACCAGTGATATTCAGATAGTTTGTTAATCTGCATATCATGATGCAATATAACCACATTTTTAAAAGCAAGATGGTGAAGACATACAGCCTGTACCTCCTCTCATTTTAAAAGCAGGAGCTAGTGATACACACTATTGATACTTTTTGTTTCTCAAATAGGACATCATTAGTTTAGACTGATTGGGAAAAGGCCAGACTGACTCTGGAAGAAATTAACATCTTACAGATATTTAAAAGATATTTATATAGCTCTCAAATGCTTGCTTGGAGATTCATATGGCATTCTGCTAGAGATATACTATGCTATATATTAGGAGTGCATATAGTGATATAAGTTAAAGACATTATAGAAATTATAAAAGAATGTTCTTTGCAATAAACTTCTGGGAAACAAAACAAATTTGAAAAGTATTTTTAAAAAACTTTTAATGGGAGGCTGGAGAGATGGCTCAGCAGTTAAGAGCACTGACTGCTCTTGCAGAGGACCCGGGTTTGATTCCTAGCACCCATATGGCGGCTATGAACCGCCCATACCTCCAGTTCCAGGGGAATCTGAAGCCCTCTTCTGACCTCCACAGCATTGCACAACATGGGTGCACTCACATACACATAAAATAAAAATAATAAAATATTTTAAATTTAAATTTTAAAAAACTTTCAATGGAGGAAAAAGCTTTCAGTCTCTTTACCATTAGAAGTACCTCAAACATTTTCCATATCATTAAGAATGATAATCCGCAGTAATTTTAGACAGTATAAACATCTCTGGCTCTTCATCTTTACAATCATCAAGAAACAAGTATATTCAGATAAGGAGACACAGTGCGTCATGAAAAATGTGGTAGCCTAAAAGAGCTCAATCCTGCCCAAACAGCAGAGCTGTGAGAAAGCCTCCAAGAGGTTGCAAAATGTTAGTTAAGTGCTCAAAGAAACACAGGATTTCATCAGTCTAATGATGATGGTGGTGATGACGATGACAGTAGACAACATTAAACACTTGTTCTAAACATTTGGTATATGTACTACCCCATTTAGCCCTCATAGCTCTCTTGTGGTAGGACCAGCACTGCAATGTGGACCTGAGGTCACATAACCGTCTCTTAGTGAAGGCAAGCTTTAACTCACAGTCTAGCTCCAGGGGCTCTGCAGGCTCCCCCATTGCTCTCTGTATTGTTGTATACAGAGATGTGGGAGGGAATACACAGGATAGTTTGAATCAAAGGACTGCATGTTCCACAACGACAGATACACGTGGAAAGCAATGAAGCAGAAGAGCAAGAAAGGGCTGGGGAGCTGAGTTAGAGCAAGAGTGCTTGTGCTACAAGCATGAGGACTTGAGTTTGAATCCCCAGCACCCACATAAAAAGCCCAGCATGGCTGTACATGTCTTTAATCCCAAGGGGAGGGGTTGGGGACGGAGATGAGCAGATCCAAGAGCTCACTGGCTAGCCAGCCTGGCCAAAACGGTGAGCTTCCAGTTCACAGAGAGACTCCATCTCAAGACAATATAGCAGAGGACAGTATTAGCGCACACTGCAGTACTGCTCTGGCCTCTGCATGTGCAAGCACAGGCCACTCACCCACAGTCACATGCATACACCACACAGAGTACACACAAAGAAAAAGGGGGTGGGGGAGGGAGAAAGGGAAGGAGGGAGGGAAGGAATGAATGAAACAGGCTACAATAATGATTTTTGGATTGCTCTTAAATGTATTCTCTTCCTCGAATCATTCTCATCCTTGCTTTAAAGGCCAGGTGTGGTGGCGCACACCTTTAATCCCAGCAGAGGCTGGTGGAACTCTATGAGATCAGGGTCAGCCTGATCTACACAGTGAGTTCAGACCAGCTGTGGCTACAGGGAGACCCTGTCTCAAAAGGACAAAAAAAAAAAAAAAAAAAAAAAAAAAAAAAAAGCCTTTACAGGTAGCAGATGAGACAAAGGACCCCTCCATCTCTGGTCCTGCTTTACTGTAACTAGATGCGAATCACTACTGCATACTGAATTAGTACTAAGTATAATAGGTGGTTTATGAAGGAAAGGCATCCATATATGAAGATGTTTATTTGAATTAGGATATGCAAATGGGTTGATATCTCATTGTGATAAAGAAGAATCTGCTGGGGCTGGAGAGATGGCTCTGCAATTAAGAACACTGGCTGCTCTTGCTGAGGGCTCGATTCCTAGCACCCACATGGCAGCTAACAACCATCTGTGACTCCAGTTCCAGGGAACCCAACACCCTTTTCTGATCTCTGCAGGCACTGTATGACACAAGTGCACTTATATACATTCAGGCAATACACTCATACATATAAAAATAAAAATAATAAAATATTTAAAAAAGAAGAATCCGTTGAAACAGATACACACTTCTGAAACAGCTTCGGCCGTCACCAGTTTCCAGACTACACTACAAAATAAGAAATCCTACTTCTCAAAGTTTATTCAGGTGCCAATAACTATAATTTATGACAATTTGGGCAAAGGCAAGGTTGAAGTTAAGCTATTTTTTGTTACATAAAGACGAGGGAAAAGGAAAGTAGACCGCATTCTTTTTAGTAGCTCACTTTGGCTATTTCTAAGAGGCAGAAGTACTTTTACAACTTGAAAGCCGGGACTGGAGAGACAGCTCAGAGGTTAAGAACACTGGCTGTTCTTGCAGAAGACCTGGGTTTGAATCCCAGCACCCACATGGCAGCTAACTGTCTGAAACTCCAGTTCCAGGGGATCTGACAGCCTCTTCTGTCTGCGGGCATTGTACGACAAGGGTGCACTTACCTACATGCAGGCAATCCACGCATACACATAAAATAAAAAAATAATAAATAAAATATTTTTTAAAAACTTGAAAGCCTATATTTTTAAGTTTGAAAGTTACAGTATTTTGGAAAGAATAGGCAGAAGGAGCTTGGTGGAGTGCTTCCGGTGTTAAGAGTAAACCAGTCTGTCCTTCGCATTTGCCACAGGGAAATTGGGGGGGAGGGGGTCAGTCCAGCCATGGCCTGGGCTCGTCTCCCAGAACTCATGTCAAGTTGCAATGTGGTACAAGGACTGAGGGAAATGTGCTGCAGGAAGAGATGTGCAGCAGAAAGCAACGGACGGTAGCATGAAGGTACGCTGAACAGGAACTGAGCCCTGCAAAAGCAGACATGGCAGCCGAGGAGAGAAACACCACGTTGGGACAGCGTGATGATAAGTGCAAGCACGTACGAGTGAGGCAGAGAAAGAAAATGGCCTGCCACGCCATGACTGGACTTGCTCATGGACTCGCCACAATCCCGTGAACTACCCAAAATAGGTGTGATTAAAGAGAGGGCTTTGCAAGTGGTCTGCAGTGACGGAGGGAGGGCGAGAGACAGAAAAATGTGGGTTCTTCACCCTTTGTCTTGAGTTTCAACTACCTGCCAAGAAGACTCCGTAACACTGAAGGGCATTCATGGAGTAAATAAGGTGCTTTGTTAAAATCTGCAACAACTGGAATGGGAAGGGTGGGAGACCAGATCAATACACCTTGCTAATCTTCAAGATGCCTTGCCACCTTTATACTCTACACATGTTTTTAAAACACTTTTGAAACATCTTGCATCTTACTCAAGAATGCTACCAGCGAAAAAGAATGCTGGTAATTTCCTGGTCTAAAAAATCTGCCTGAGGAAGCAGTCAAGACTGAGCTTGTTTTCCTCAAATATTGTATTAGTTCATAAACAGTTGTTTTGAAGTAGCAAAGAATTTCACAAGAATTCTGGACTCTACATTTTGGGAAAGAGGTGTGGACAGGGATTGAAAAGTAAGTGAAACGGGCTACCGAGCTGAGCAATGTAAGCCACTTACGCATTTCTCTGGGGAGCAAAACTAGCAAAGGAGACACAGGACTGGAACAAAAGTAGAGCGCAAAAAGACAGGCTATTGCTTTACTATTGGACAAGAAGAATAACTACACACAAAAAATAACAGAATAAATAACATTTCAACCACAACATAAATTTTCATTCATTAAAAAAATTTTTTTAGCTTTTACAATTTCTGTTTATTTTAATTATATAAGGTAGTTTATGTCAGTTTCTGGTGTCTCAAAAGGCCATGTGGATCGCAAACAGCTAGTCTTGGAGAGTAGATAAAAGTATTACTAAACTGAACTTGATCCAGCTTTAGGGTGATGAGTCAAACTTTGAGGACAGAGAGGTAATAAAATCTTAAGAAGCCATTTTTTAGAATTATTTTTACAGAATTCTAATTCAGACTCAATTTTTAAAAAGTAACATGTAAACTAGAAATCATTTCAGTAATGTATTGTTGATAATGTTCTTCTGCAAAATAAAAATGTGCTTTAGAAGCAGAGATTACTTAGCACTTAATAAACTGCAAACCACTTGTCTTCTGCCAGAGCAGTGAGGTATTCAGTTGCCTATTTTGACTGCTGTGGGGAGGACAGGATGCTTGAGGGCAAATAGAACCCTAATGTAAAACACGATAGCAAAGA